AGAAACAACAATAATTGACTCACTTTACACAACTTATAGCAAAGTAATTTTCTGATCAAGTATACTTCGGCACTGGGTACTTATTCGCTTTTAACAAAAGGCTTCGTTAAAAGAGTGCTGAGACCCTGTCACGGTCGACAGTCGATGAGATTTCCATTGTTTAGGGTTCTTTGAATTTTACAGTAAGGCTTTAACCGATTTCAAACAAAAACTGACTGCAAACGTAATTTTCTCTGTGTCGAAGATGACAAATACCACTAATGTAGAGGATATGCGATAATAGTATCTATGTAATACCTATGTCTCCATCATTATGGACATTCATACTTTAATGATCACAATGACTTATTCACAACCATTGCCGGGACGCAGGTTTGCTTTAATTAATGCTCCATGTCTTGTGTTGCTCTTGATTGTTTCTTTATTGTATATTAAATTGTCGCTTTTGTTTAGGTGTGTGTGTGTGTGTCGTCATTAATTTTTAGTTTCTTGTTAGTTATTAACGATTACAGATTATCATCGAAGGCTGTGAATTCTATAGTACCACGTAATTGAATCAAAAGCTCTTTTGACATTTTATGAATACCCTACGACAAAACACATTGTGATCCAATGACATTAATAAAATCAATGATAAAAGTCAATATTATACAATTAATGCAGCGACATCTTACGTCAGTCTCTGGTAACTGCAAACGTACTGGCAGAGTGAGAAACTTCATAGGTCTGTCACGCATGTTACTCACGGTGATAGAAGTTCTTGTATTTTTTTCCATCCTCTAAGGGTAGAAGCCGAGAAGTTTGTAAGGTCTGCTAACTTGACATGGAAGCTGGAAAGGTAAAATGTCTAACCTGCATTTGAGAAATATTAGAGAAGAGCGATTTAAAGTAATTTTTTGAGAAAAAAATCGTAACTAGAATCTAGAATGTTATGTGGAAAAGCTAAAACTCTAGTTTCCCAAGCACATGAAATTAGAGTAATGATTTTCTATTATAACAAAACAATACTTTAAAGCGCTCTCCTGCAATATTTTCCAAATGCACGTCACACGTTTTACCTTCCAGGGTGGATATTATGTAGCTCAGTTAGCAGAGCAGTGACCCTAGTGACACATGATATTCAATAAAAATCAATAATATGATAACCTTCTAATTTGATGCTACAACCAGGACAGTCAGACTACCCAACGCCTTAACCACTTACAGTAGAACTATTGTATTTGGGCTCTTTGAAATGATCTCGCGAATTGTTACTTACGGATGGCAGCTTTATTGACTTCTTGGAATACACTGTTTTGTATCGGGGCAGTTTTTTCATGTTAATGTGTTTTTTTACTATACATTACGTACAGAATTTTTGACTTTATATTTTAATTTTAGTAAATTTTACACAGGACTTGAAATTAACTCATTTTTTCAATACTGCCAATCGTCTAGATGTTGTTCAGTTGTACGTGCACATACATGTGACAAATACATAACACAATATACTTAATAATAACGCAATAATAATAACGCACACACTCAACATAGCCCCGCAACATAGCCCTGTGTCGCGGGTGCCATGGACACACACATAGACAACCACAAATTACACCCAAACTCACGAGAGAAATAATTGTAGGCCATACAAATATTTCTCCCGGCCCGGGAATCGAACCTGAGACCTCTGCGTGGCAGTCCGGTATGGTAACCGTTCGGCCACGGAGGCAGTTAAATATAATATATAGAACATAATATAATTAGTACTGAGTACTATTTATTAGGTGTAACTGAGTAATATTTATTTGTTTCACCGCACCAAAGATAAGAACAAATGTGTTGAGCTGACCGCCAACCTCCACTAGTTGGAAAGCGTCGTTAAGAAAAGGAAGAAGAAGAAAAATAAATGAGTACTGACTTACTTATACATTCAAAAACCTCGCAGTTATACTACGGATCCCGTCAACGACGAACATTTCCAGAAACTTTCACGTTGGACTGATAGGCGAGCAACATTTTTATTATTGAAACAAACATAATAGTACTTACCTCCTAAAGAAGCTTTTTAAACTGAGCAAAGCGCTGTTCCTTCCTCTGTTCCCTTTACGTTTTCACTTCAATTTGTTTGCTCCTATTAAATAAGTGCTGAACTAATTCCTTAACGTTCTAAGAAAAAAACTTGCTTCGAATCTAACGTCTGGGAAGCGCAAAATCCAGCTCATGTACGGGAGCCGCCTCCACTAAAGGTAAGTGTCCGACCGTAATTTACAGTAAAAACATTTCCACTCCAAATGCCTTTGAAAAGGCGAATTTTTGAGAAACTCATGGAATTCTCAGAATTTGTTTGAATACAGACGAATTGGAGATATTCAACAATAATTTATTAGTCACATTATTTTAACAATGGTTTACTGGAATGTCGTTAGGCATATTTGGAGAGAAATGCGCGAAATGTAGGCTATACTAACAAGTTTAGTTGTAATTTTTGAAACGTTATTTATCTTGTATTAGATCTAGATAGGATGAAACTTAAAAATTCAACCACACTTTTGTGATTTTACGGATTTATAATTACTTACTAAAATTGTACCCATGTTTCCTCCCACAATAAGGTGCCAATCACAGGCATATATCTAGATAGACGCCGCAAGTGTACGTACTTCGCGTGCCCGAAGTAAGCGAAATTCACTTACTTGCCGATGCTACACTTCAGAACGCTCTCGACCGTTATCGTGGATAAACACCAGTTGAAAACGCGAAATAATGCATAATTGTGCCATTACAAACTGCAAAAGCACCATAACTGCTGGTAAACTGGTAAACCGGGACGTTTCCTTCCACGGGCAAGTGATTATTTAATCAGAAGATGCATAATTTATTTTAAAAACAATTATTTTGGTTTTGTATAAATTTCGAGAAAACAAATATGCAACCGAGCGCATGCTTTGTAATACATTGCGGCTTTTACTTAGTGCGATATATTTGTGATTCTTTGTTAATACGCCATGAATATCGAACGAACGTACTTTTGTATAATGCACTCAGTTTCGTGATATGGCCGCTGTGACGTGTACGTTAGGCAACACTGCTCTCGATTCTGCAATACTGCTTTCGATTCTAATCGATTTTGAAAACAAAGGGACGAAAATTGTTATGACCTTAGCAATATTATTCTTTTCTTACGTTTCGTTTTTTTTTTCAGTTTTGTAGTATCTATTATTAGTATCTGTAATTTCGATAATTTTGCAGCACGTAGCCTCGAATGTCCGAATATAGTGAGCAAACAATTACATACACCGCTAGTATAGTTAGTTCCATCTAAGATGCTATCCAAATATGCAGAGTAGCAGAGTTAGAAATCCGAGAAATAATAAACAAAACACAAAAATTTCACACGAGGCCGTCATTAAGTAAACCTCCTCTGATTAATAAGATTTTACCATATTTTGTCAGCAGTAACATTTCATTTGTTTTGGCATTCATCAATTTGATCAATTACCAACAGAAAGGCATCTAGTAAAATTAATTAAGCCAGTCGCAAGTTCATATAGTCAATATAATTATGTATTCATTATTTAAGTTAATCGATAAGATCTTCTGTTACAAAAAGATGTTATGTAATAAGCTCATTTTATTGGAAGGACTATAATTTCAATATTTGAAGTCGAACAAAAATTAAAGTCTTAATTTTTTGAAGTAATCAACATTTTTTTTAAACAAGTAAAATAAAGACTTAACTATCTTATTGTAGTATTTTTCTACTATATTATTATTACGACTACTTGTAATGAACAAATACTTGAACAAAAATTATTATATTTAGAATACGCGTGTTTACGCGTATTCCGTTCAATCAATCGATTTAGAGTGAGCGGAAGGAGGCTTCCATCACTAAATAGTTCTTGTGACGTCATAGTGAGTACAAAAATGTGTAACGCTTGGTTTTCATACAAACTGCTGTACTTGCGGCGACTATACAATGCCAATACAATCATCACACAAAGACGATCCCTTAATTTTTAACCGATTTCAAAAAAGGAGGAGGGTCTCAATTCGGCTGTAAATTATATTAAATTATAGTCCTTCCAATAAAATGAGCTTGTTACGTGATAACTCCGCCATTTGTGACCCGATTTTAATGACTCTTTTTTGTTAGAAAGAGGGTACCTTAGCATTGGCCCCATTTAAATTTGAAGAAAATATTCCATCTCTGTGGGTGGCAAACTAGGAGACGAATCCGGTTTCGTGCACTTTCCGATAACCAATTTCAATAAAATTTGGCAAATAAATGTGGTTCTCCAAGCTTTCGAGGTCGGTTTTTTAGTACTCTATACTAGATTATTATTACATAAAGTAAATTCCTACCAGTTTCGCTCGCGTTACTCTTAGCTTTCTACGTACGCGCTAGTTTTCCTGTTTAAATAAACATTGACTATGAAAATCCTCCATTAGTAAATTCCAAGTGTTTTAGAAGTGACTACTTAATCCACTTGTGTTCCTATCTCGACTCGTACATCTTCTTCTAAATAAGCGTCTTTCTAAAACGGCCGCATTCACCGAGTCTCGGCGAGAGCTCGTAAAACTCTTTTAGCAAGGAATGCCTTTTCTAATAAAGCTAGAGGTAAATCTCGAGGGCGATGGTGCTGCGAGAAGCTTTACACTTATGCATTGTAAACTAGTTTGAAGACACGTACCAATTGCCTGGCCATCTAAACGGTGCGAGCTAACCTCGCAGCGCCATTTGTGTAATTATATTGAAGTGTAGTTATATTGTCACACTGTAAATCACATTTCATCTATGTTTACATAATAATTACGTAATCTACAATTGGTGTATCTCACTGTTATACGTTTGTATAGATACAAAGTAAACCGTAAGGTTTTTGTAATAATTTGCTGCAGTTGTTTGCCTTCAATAAAGTTTTTAGGAACGCTGACATTAAAATGATTACTCGTGTTGATGTCAAATGGCCCGTTCACTACTTGCAAGGCAGTCCTCCGTGCAGACAGGAGACGGCTCACACACTATCCTGCGTAGGGCTCACGTATGGAGTCTCGTAGGACGCATTGCAGCATCGCTTGCACGTTGCCACTACATTCATAATCCTGCATTTCGTGGCGGACGCCAAGGCAGACTGCAATGCAGGATAATGAATGCTTCTTTTTACCTGAAATTTACGAATTATTTTCAACACATATGATATGCAACAACATATACAAGTTTTTCCCTCACTAAGAGGAATGTTTTGACAAGTGGAAAAGTTCAAAGTATAAAGAATAGACATAATAATGTAAACCCGTACTCCATACAACACATTAACAGCCAAAATGTGTTGCAGATCGTACCTTTTTTAAACCATCCATTTTCGGAGGTCAGCAAAGCGTGGTCGCTGTCATTCGTTAATTTTTCTGTTAATTTTTAATTTCCATTGGAACGGGGTTAAAATGCTTTATAAAAAGGAGGCGTGATCTAATCAGGTGCCACTGTCCGGGCCGGGGGCAAACGCGCCTACGCGTCACTCTGACACTTCGGAATAAATAAATTAGGAGTCCGAGTGTCCGAACGACCCTTCTAAGCCCCGCGACCCAACAAATAGAACAATTACCCAACCCTTTGTGGTACGGTATATTTATTATTGACGCAAAAAGGTGAATCTAGCATTGGACGCGAGGCTTTATTTATACAATAGCTAAAGGCGAATTCACACTGGAAATTATTATGTCAATATGAACTGCATTTTCCATGCGGGACATACAATTGATTTTGACAGCTTTAAATTTCCTTTTCACTCCTGCGTTGTTCGGCACTTTCTAAATAGAAGATTTTTATGTTCGCCACGCTTGGGCAGACCATCGATTTCAAATGCAAATTGCAATTAAAGGTGCATGATCACAGAAAATGCTCTAGCTCGTCTAAATTTAACTAATTTTAACTCTGATTATTTCACTTGGTATGAACGAGGCGTTACGCCAAGGTCAAAAGTATCTCTCCCGTCATTCGGCAACCTTTTCAATTTTTATTTGATCTATAAATGTAATCGAAAATTTTACGAACCCTTTTTTTCGGGTCTAATTAACCTTTGTTGGTCAAAGGTCGCGTTCGGAAGCTAAAATGCTGTTTTGATTATTCACTCTGAAAGCACGAGCTTGTATGAGTAACCAATATTCGTGGGAAATTTTATATAAATAAAGATATTTTATATCAAAATCCAAGTGTTCCACAATTTCGTCGTCGATATTAAATTTTGATTTATTACTTGGTGTACAGTCCGCATATTAGCTTGGTGCAGCAAGCGAACAGCTAGCTCCAGGTGAAGACTGAAATGATTTTCAGTCTTCACCTGGAGCTAGCTGTTGCAATGCTGAATGCGTTGCTGATGCAATGCCGAGTCTTTAACCTTTTTGTCCACATCACTCAATTGTATTTTCTATTAGTTTTTAAGTATTATGTTTCTTATGTTTTGTGGAGAAACAAAATGTGTTTTTTTTTTATTGTATTTATAACGAAAGATCGGAAGAGGCACAAGATATTTACTTAATCTTTAAGAAAGTACTACGGTGTTATTTCATTGTAGGTCGTTCTTTACTTTTTTAAGTGTAACTAGTTACTTACTACTAATTGAATTAATACAAATTCCTTTCTTAACTCTTTTGTTCTCGTGTATCGCTCCCCTTTCCACTTCCAATCGAATGGTAACATAATTATAACTTTTTTTGTTATAAGAAAACCTACCTCAAAAGTTTGCTTATCGGCTTGTTTATTGAAATTACACCTGTTTGCCAAGTTTATTGGCATCGATTAAAGGAAAGTGCGCGAAACCTAATTCATCCCCTAGTTTGCCACCCTTAGAGGTGGAATATTTTCTTCAAATTTAAATGGTTAAATTAAAAACCACTACTGAGATAACCTCGTCCCAACAAAAAAAAATCATCAAAATCGGTTCACAAACGCCGGAGTAACCACATAACAAACATACAAAAAAATCTCTCGAATAGAAAACGTCCTCCTTTTTTGAAGTCGATTAATAAAAGGTTGATAGCGCACTTTCTTGCTCAATTCTCTTTGTAATCATCGTATTATGTATATTATAAACATTTAATTAAATTATGCACATTTATTTACGTTATTTATTATTATACATTATAAATATTGCATGTGTTTGTAGGTAATACTTACGTAAGTGTCGGTAATTTTTTATTAATGTCTGTTAAGTTTGTTATATTTGTTTTGGTGCAGTAAAGTTTTGTGTAAGTAAAAATATAACTTGTTTTTATCCAGTACGATTGAACTTGGGTTAATTATTGTTATGAATAAGTTAATAGGAACACTTGGGTTTCTTGAGGCGCAGATTACTAATTATGACGTATGAATTCGGAAATGTATTTTTGAGAAAGTAACAAAATTTAAACAATTACTTCGGATCTAAGTCACTATATTTGTTTTTATTAACGTTTTGGGCTTTTTACGTCGGCTTGTTCGAAAAATTAAATGTATGCGATTGGAATCTAAAAAATAGCTTCATCTCCAATCTGTAGCAATTGCAAAAACTTATTCGGACCACTATAGTCATTGGTGGTTACTACTTAACATACAAAAAACAAAAACACAAAACAAGAAAAGTTACATCTACGCTAGTAACAATATAAATCACATACATAAAAATAAATAAATCATAATTTATAATTCTAGTTTATCAGTCGCCCAAAGATACTACTACATTTGCAATTTTGTTACTTCGTTATCAAAATTGCGAACTACCCGTGAACACTAGTTAAGGCATAATTATTAACATACACTATTGGAACTTCCCTTGGCGTTCGCATTATTAAAATAACTGAAAGCTGTCGCGTTGATCGATCCTAAACTTACAAATCAACCACAAGCAAAGTGCATCAGCGCTTGCGCTGTACGTGTATATTATTATAATTATTACGTTATTCAATTCCAGACGACGTGCACAGCCGTTACATTTGATATGTGTGCCAATACCACGTGCGTGTCACATTCACGTGACACATTTGGTTCGTACATCACTCTACTTTAAACTATACATGATGTTTTGAAATTGTTGCAACTTATTAAAAAAGCCGACCTCAAAAGTTCCTGGAATTACATCTATAATTGCTAAGTTTTATTGAATTCGGTTTCCGGAAAGTGCTCTAAGCTCTAAGAGGTGGAATATGTTCCACAAATTTAAACTAGACCAATACTGATGTACTTTCCTTCCGACAAAAAAGAATAATCGAAATCTGTTCACAAATGCACAATACAACCGGAGTAACCGAGTAACATACACACAAAAAAAAATAGTCGAATTGAAAACTTCCTACTAGTTTTGAAGTTAAATACAAAACTTTGGCATGATTATCCTACCTCTCAATAATAATAAGATTACTTTTTTAAAGTATTACGTTTTTTGTTAAAGAAAACAGGTAAATTTCACTTGAGATATTTACAAGTTTTAGAACAAAGTTGTTCATGTAAAAAAGTAAATGGTAAACATAAAGTTTTATAAAGTTTGTATAAAGAAAATTTGTGCAAGAACTAAAGCTAACATATGCATAGTCGAAAACAGAATTGTGTATATTCACATGATAGAGCGAAGGTAAGCATGTACATAGGTACTCGAGTGTGGCGATAAAATCTCAGCTTTGTTCCCGTCATGCTACCCTCGCGACTAGGATAAATGTGCGCGGATCGTGATTGGAATACTTGAACTTCATTTCCAGCTATGTCCTTCTCTCTCGTCGCCTTTATCTCTTATTATTTCATATTCTTTGCCACTTATCTTGATCCCGCATCAATGTTACTTCAACCTGAGATTACTTCAGGCGTGAGTTCCAGTTACTTAGATCGTTTCTCCTGTGTATAACTTTATACAGGGACTTCGCCTGGTAGACACCAGAATGTGTTCCCACAAAGAAACCTGCACACCTATATATCTGATATTAAAAGAGGTCTATACAATATTTTAGACGACCTCAGTAGTCGAGTGGCTTGCACACCGGTTTTCATGGTGTCGCAATCTTTGAAGGTCCCGGGTTCAATCCCCGGCCGGAACAATGTAGAAAAACTAACTATTCTGTATTGTCTCGGGTCTGGGTGTTTGTGGTGCCGTCGTTATTTTCGATTTCTATAACACAAGTGCTTTACTTTGGGATCAGAGCAGCGTGCGGGATGTTGTCCAATATTAAAATTAAAAAAAATACCGTATTCTGGCAATCAAACGTATTCTGTTATACAATGTGAATTCAACTTCATACCATTCGGCGATACAAAGTGTATTTATACAACTTTAACAGACACTTTTGGGAATAAAAGACGTAAAAGGCAAGTTCTGTCAAAAATTAGTTATTGACGTAATTGGATCAAATTGTCATGTTCTCGGCCTGCCTGTTCAGCTTTCCTATCATCAAAAATGCTTTTTAAGTAAACGTTCGTTTTACGCGTGAGTAAATAAAGCAAAATAATATCAGTCTCTTGTATTTCACATTAAAAAAATCCTCATGATGTTACACGTGGTTCCATCTGGTGGTACATATTCCTCATCGATTAGCTTCGATCGTTTCTTTTAACATGTTCATGAATGAGATAATTATGTATTTTCTGTTAATCAAAAGCTACGTTTATTCGTGGAAACACCAAACACATCGCACAACATCAAAGGTATTCCCAAGTCATAAATATGATATTCACTCGTGTATGTATATGTATATGTATACCAAAGAACTTGAAGAGAAAACGACAAACAATTAATGTGATAAATTGGATAAAGCCCTCGATTCGTGTACAGGCTGTATATGAAGTTGTCGCCGTAACTTGAGGGGCTCATCTGAGCATCAAAACGAACAACTTTGCATTACGACTTTTGTAAATACACTTTTCGATTTTGCATCTCTCCGCGAATTAATATTTTCACTGAACTCTAGGGAAAACGAGATTTGAAAATTGTGTGTGTGCGAAAACTGTTAGTTTCATTTTCAATTTATTATGTTTATAGTATATTATAGACATGTTACTATCTTGGAATGGTACAGTACACCGTATTTTTGCGAACATATTCCAAGCTATGACTCCTTCTGAAGTGTTCATAATGGCAACTTCACAGGTAATACCGCGATTCAGGTTTCTTACAATTTGTGCTTGTTATATTCGTGTTAACTTTTTGAATGTTATGGAACGAGTCTGTACATTATTACCCTTTATTTTCTTGTATTGCATTGCAAGTTTTTTAAAATAACATCAAGTGACGGGACGAACAAGTCGTGCATCTGATGGTAAGCTACACGCCAGTCCATAACAGTTACAGTGCCACTCAGAGCTTTAAATCTCACTGCCACTGCGCCCGTCACCCTGAGACATAAGTTGACAAGTCCCATGTGCCTGTAATTTCACCAGCACCCTTACCCTTCAAAACCGAAACACAGTAATGCTGACATTACTGCTTGGCGGCAGAAATCGGTAAGATGGCAGTATTTCCCTGCACGAACTCTTTCACAAGGAGCTCTATACTGCTACTGAACGTACACGTCAGTTAAAATAATTTTAATTTTAGATTTTCGCATGTTCGAATTAGAAAGTCCAGATTTTTGATATCGTGCAACGACCTATCCTGAGTTCTATAATTTTTCTATTAATTTAACTTTATTTATTGTACGAGCAGTGGCTGAAGTACTGTCGAACATTTTTCTTAACCGCCACATCATAAACGAATTATTCGCTTAAAAAAAATCGTATCGAAAGCTTCGAAACTTATAGAATTTAATACAAAAAGAGACATGCGTCTGTCTAGTGAAACATTTGAATTTCAGGCTGTAGCTCACGAATGATCGGATCCAATTGTTGCCGGTAATTGAATAAAAAATGTCCTTATCGATGAGAAATGAAAAATCCTGTAATTATTAACGTTGATTGTTGTTTCGCAATATCTATTTCACCATTTGTACGAAACGATTTCGTTGTTTATTTGATGCCTGATATTTATATAGGTATTGTAGTATTTCAATGAAACACGGCGAGTGTGCGACAACAACTGGTTTATTCAATTTTGATACACCGGTACATGGTATTTCTTAAGTCTACCCACAACATCTCCCCCAAAAAGATTTTATAAGAACAACATAAACTAAAACCATTTCTGGAAGGTTTCATAATCATAATCAGAGATCAGAGAATCAGAGATTTCATAATATCTGATTGAACACTAGCAACTATAGTATACATTACATGCCAACCCTCCTTTTATGTTTACTACAAACATCATACATATTATATTAATTAACATACACTATTATTTTTAAATTAAACTTACCCATCACCATTGAGTTGAACTTAAACCTACGTAATGAAATATCTTAAACTATGTTTTTTTTTTTAAATTACATTAATATCATTTGTTAAGTAACATTTATTGCGTTAACGTAATGTAAACAAGACGAACATGTGGGGTAAATTTTATTGTAATGATTATGCTTAATAATTGTTTCATTTGTCCTGTTTAGATTCCATCAACATTTTTGCTCGTCTTCGCGTGATTCTAAGAAATTTCGGTTGTATATGGTTGGAGCTATCTACATCGTTAGACTCTGATTTGTGATTCTCCGGGTGACTTACATTATCGCACGCGTCCTTGAACTCGTCACTGACCATATCTGATTGCTCTTGAGAGCTCGAGGGCGCGAGTGCTGCGCTGATCGGAGGCTCACATTTAATTAAATGACGGCGGTTTCGTCTAAGCTTGCCCCCCACCTTATTTTGAATTACATAGGAGCGTGGAGTAGCCGCCTTGCCTACAACAGTTGCGCGAGTCCTCGCTTTTCCTTCAATACATACAACCTCATCGCCTACATTAAGTGTTGGTAAATTCTTAGTATGTTTATCGTACCGTTCTTTAATTTTAAACTGATTGCGTAACATAGTATGGTATTCTGACGAGTCAATGGGTTGCGGTTTTAATAAGTCGGGGTGCACTGGTAACTTACATCTTAGTCTACGACCCATCAGAAGCTGCGCAGGAGAGCTTAAACCGTCCCTAGGTGTATTACGAAAATTCAGTAACGCTAAGTGAAAATCGCCATTGCTATTCATTGCTTTCTTAAGTAATGATTTAACAGTTTGCACTGCTCGCTCGCTCTTGCCGTTCGCCTGAGCATAGTTTGGCGAGGACGTAACGTGATGGAACCCCCACTCTCTCGCAAACATTTTGAATTCGCGACTACTATATTGTGTCCCATTATCGCTTATTAAGGTTTCCGGAATACCATGACGTGAAAAAATATCCTTTGTACTCATTATAACGGAATTTGATGAAATGTTCGGCAACTGACACACTTCTACGTAGTTGGAATAGTAGTCTACAATTATTAAAAAATATTTCTTTTTTATTTCAAAAATATCAGAACCTACTTTTTTCCACGGCAGCTCGGGAATTTCGATTGGAATTAGTGGTTCTTTGGCGGGTGTGTTTAAGCATTCCTGGCAGGTACGACAGCGTCTCACAAACATTTCGATATCGCGCGTCATGTTGGGCCAGTACATTACCTGCCTCGCGCGCCTCTTGCACCTATCTATGCCCATATGACCCTCGTGTATTAACTTCAACATTGGTAGTCGTAAAACCTGTGGTATTAAAACTAAATTGTTTTTAAAAATGACACCATCGACTATGAAAAATTCATCCCTTAAGGACCAATATGCTTTTAAGTCACTCTCTATTTGCGACTTATGATCGGGCCAGCCAATACTAATATATTCGCTTAATTTACGGCATTCAGAATCACGTTTAGTCTCCTTTTTGATCATTGATAGTTTGTCGTTCGACATTGGTAAACTATTTACTATTAACTGTATCTGATACAAATTGTTTTTATGAACTTCTTCGCTGTATAGATCGGGCAACGGCGCACGAGACAATGTATCCGCAATATACATGTACTTTCCCGGCTTGTACTGAACGACCAGGTCATAGTGTTGTAATCGCAACATCATGCGCTGCAAGCGTGCTGGTACAGACATTAACGGTTTTTTGAAAATGCTCTCGAGGGGCTTGTGATCGGATTCCACAATAACCTTTTCTTTGCCAAATATATATTGGTGGAATCTTTCACAAGCGAATACAATGGCTAGGAGCTCTTTTTCCACTTGCGCGTATCGACGCTGTGCGTCCGTGAGCGTGCGGGACGCAAACTCGACGGGGCGGCCCCCTTGCAACAACACGGCACCCAGCGCATCACGCGACGCGTCCACCGACAACAGGGCCGGTGCCGCCACGTCATATAACGCCAACACGTCTGCGCCTCCTACCGCTTCCTTTAATTCTGCGAATGCTTTCTGTTCGCTATGTTCCCACCGCCAGCTATTTTCTTTTTTAAGCAAATTCGTAAGGGGTATTGCTCGTTGTGAATAGTTCGGTATAAATTTCGATAAATAATTTACAGCTCCTAGGAACCTCTCCAAACTTTTTCTGTCGTTTGGCGGAGGCATCTCCTTTATCGCCCTGACCTTATTGTCATCGGGCCTCATTCCATTGGCGTCAAATATGTGCCCAAGATATGTGACTTCTTTTAATCCTATTCTGCACTTCGCTTTGTTGAACTTAAGATTAATCGTTCTAGCTCTTTCTAGAAGCATGCCTAATCTCTCATCGTGTTCGCTCCTCGTTTTTCCCCATACGATGATGTCATCGATAAAATTATCAACCCCATCAAGGTCTTCCAACAGCTGACGCATTTTGCCATGAAAGACTTCCGAAGCACAATTAATACCGAATGGCAAGCGCAAAAACTGATAGCGGCCAAATGGTGTGGCGAACGTGCACAAGTCGGCACTCTCGTCGTCAAGCTGCACGACCCAAAAGCCAGAGTTGGCGTCGAGCACGGAGAAGTATGCGGCGCCATGGAGACGCGCCGCCAACTCCGCCAGCGTGGGCAGCTGGTAGTGCGCGCGTTGCACTGCGACGTTTAACTCACGCGGGTCGAGGCACACGCGTATGCCGCCGTCCTTTTTTGCCACTATCACTAGAGGGTGGACCCATTGAGTTGGATGTGTGACTTTTCTAATTACCCCTAATTGTTCCATTTTTCTCAGCTCCTCCAATAAGCGGTCTTTCAAACTTAACGGTATTTTTCTACTTGCGCATATGACAGGCGGCACGGACTGATCGACTACGATATGATATTTGCCGGGAAGACACCCTAAGCCATTAAACAAATCAGCATATTTATCTAACTGTATAACATTAACGCGTTTTATTAATCCTATGTCTGCACACGACTGTCGTCCCAGCACGCTTTGACATTTAATGTTGGCTACCGCAAAGGACAATTTATAAGGTTTGTTTTTATACCACCAGTTTAAACTACATACACCTTTGATAGGAATCACATCCCCAGTGTACGATTCCAGTTTCATCTTTGACGGTTTCAACATTTTATCGTTAAAACCTAATAATAAAAATTTTTCAAAAGAAATAACATTTATGTCTGCGCCCGTGTCGAGCTTAAAATGCTCACTACCGTTTTCGCAGTACAAAGTTTCTGTCCAGTGCCCTTTGCTATTTATCGAATAAACCATATCCATATAAAACGGTTCATTATCAGAATCAGTACTATAACAGTGACTTTGTTCGATTTCGTACACTTTTTTGATACCGCTATCGTTGTTAACAAAACGGGCCTTACACATTCTAGCAAAATGTCCTCGATTACCGCAAGCAAAACATGTCACATACATCGCCGGACACTCACGGGTAGAACAGCGCGCGCCGCTGCCGCCGCAGCCAGCACACTCGCGAAGCGGAGCCGGGGGCCGCGCGCCGCCTGCTCTGCGCCCGCGCCAGCCCGCGCTCGGCCCACCGCCGCCGCCGCGCCGCTCAGGCCGCGCGCGCCTCTCCACACCGTGCACATGTGCCGCACTTGAACACTCACTATTTACACACAACTGCCTCCCGCTTTCTTGAGACACCTCCTCGGCTTGACACAGCTTGATCGCCTTATCCAGGTCGAGATCTTCACATCTCAGTAACCTATCTCTCACAGTGGGATTCCGAACACCACATACGATGCGATCCTTAATCAACTCTTCTTGCAGAGTACCGAACTCGCAATCCTTACTTAGCAAACGCAGCGCAGTCACGTACGTTTGAATCGACTCCCCGTCGTCTTGATTCCGCGTAAAGAACTTGTATCTCACCAACGTTATGTTGATTTTGGCACCAAAGTACTTGTCAAATTTTTTTATTATTACGTTCACGTCATCCTTATCTTTGTCGTTTTCAAATGAAAAAGTTTGGTAAACGTCGAAACCCTCGGGGCCGATGAGGTTGACAAGTAGACTGGCCTGCACTCCAGAGGACTCACTCTTCACCCCGGATGCCTTCACAAATAGATTGAATTGCTGTCTCCACCGCTTCCACGCATCGGCCCTGCTAACGGGACCGCCCTCCATATTTAATTCCTGCGGTGGCCTCGCGTGCTCCATTATTACGCTGATTTTTTTTTTTTTTTTTTACTTCAATTACACTAAAATTTTAGTTTTAGATTATCACACCAATACTTGCAGTATTACACTTCATAAGTATACTTTTTTAGCCGAAAAGGTAAAACACCGCTGCCACCATGTAGTATTTCAATGAAACACGGCGAGTGTGCGACAACAACTGGTTTATTCAATTTTGATACACCGGTACATGGTATTTCTTAAGTCTACCCACAACAGGTATACAGTAATTTTTACAGGCAAAGAATTATTGAAAATAAATAAAAACAAATTGATTCTGGTGCGTCAAAATAATTATAAATTTGAAACTGGCGGTGGACTGCATTCTTTTCAAAAGACGGTAAATTATAGCAGCTTTTACATGGTCAGACAAATAAGAAACGACCCAATTTAACGCTGTGATAAATAAATTAACATTTAAATTGTTTTTGTCCTTAGATTTGCATCACAAAGAGAGAAATGCTCCATGGGACTGGCAACACAATAAGTGAGGCTTCAAACTTACACGAAAAATCAATAACGCGGTTTTAGAGTTAACGCGAACTACGCAAGAGATAATCTTTGGATAGGTATGAGTGCTGAGGGAAAGCAGTTTCTGTAAACAAGTGTCATGTTATGAAATATCAAGAATGCAGGATTATCCTATTTCTTACTTTATAAGCTGCAGTCAAAGTGCGAGCGCTACTCCACTTGGAGTCGGCAGGCGTGACTTAAGGACGTAGTCGCCGGGGTTGCCAAACCAGTGGCGCTTACGTATTATCAACTCGCATGTGCGCTCATGATTTATCTTAGTAATCTGATTATTATACGTACATTTAAACAGGTCGCGAAGTTTAATTAGCGAAAAAATGCTTTACAAGGTTTCATTACAACAGTGCGCAATAAGTAAAATTTGTACATAGTTTAAAGTCATTTTTCGCAGTTTTTGGCATGATCCGGCTTTAATGGGTTTTTTAAATAATCGTGTATAGAACAGAAATATATCATGTGAAATATTGACCTATTGATCTTAAATGTAACTTCACGTTTGAAAGATTGAATGAGTGCCGTTTATGCAGAAATGGATTGTTAACATAAATTTTATAATAATACTAACAACCTTATCATAAAGCTGAACAACATGCCCCTGGATGAAATAACTGTAGATACTTGGGCAATTTGATAAGTTCGATGAATTCAGAATGGTGCAGGAAAAGGAAAAAAAAGATGTTTGGGTCTGGTAAGTCACGACTGTTTTCTTACAATCATCATAGAAAGAAAGATCGAAGGAAAGAGAGGCAGAGGACGACAGAGTCGAAGTTATGTAGATCTGACAAGTCGTATCAGGAAATTAATCAGTTAGCGCGCTGCGCAGAAATAAGAAGATGCAGTCAGATCGAAGCTCATTTTTCTTACTGTTCGATCTTTGTATTGTAGTTATAACAAAGTAGTTACTCCACTACTTTGTTATAATTATAATACAAAGATCATATTCAATTATTTCACAAAAATAATTGAATATCATGGTGGTCAAACATCACGACATTCAATAAACTTAAAAATTAAGAAGAAGAAGAAGTTATAATAACAAATAGTAAAAATATTAAAAACAGCAATTTCCCCATAATTTCCCTATAAATGTCGTCTTTGCGGTGGTTTGTTCTGAGTTTGAATATATTTTTATTAGCTTGTCAATATTTTTCTCATTGCCGCGACTTACGTATTTATATAGAAAACAAGTTTACGAAAGGAAAAATTTGGCATCATTGTCACAGGACTTTCGGGGTTAATTTACCATCATTAACGTATGAACACTTACCTAAAGCAAAGAAGTAAAATTTGGTGAAATCGAATAACTTTTTTAATATAATTTTAATATTACCCCTCTTTCTCTGATAACAGTTCAATTTTTTTTTATAATATAAAGTAACTGGACGGGCAAGTCGCGTACCTGGTGGTAAGCTACACGCCTGTGCATAACAGTTGCAGTGCCACTCAGAACTTCAAACACAAAAGCCTGAAGGGCACTGCCACAGCGCCCGTCACCCTGAGACATAATTTGATTTGTAATAATGATCGTAAACATATTCGTAGTGGTGAATATTCGTATCGCTTTAGTGCTCCAAAATTGACACGAGTCCTCATTAGGTAAGTCGCTTATCTGATCTAAATGTCTTCCCATGCTTCTCTTTTCTTCTATGTTCCAATCTATACTTCTAAGAAAACCACGGGGTCGTATCAGATGCTCAACATCCGTCCCTTGCGGTTCTTTATTTTCTTTAATAAGCTTTTCGTTTCGTATAGGTACTATTTTCGTATAATATAAAATAAAACAACCAAACTATTTATAAATGGCCTGTTTTATTGATATTCTTATATTTACAATCATCATTTCGTGATAGGTACCGAGCGGTAAAACTTGGGCACCTAAATTCATAATAATAAAATTACATCTAATGTACCGATAATATTTACATAACATTCCACCTATAACTAAATAACGCTTAACAACGAAATTTTGGGGTCTACAGTCGGTGTACAAAATCATTTTCAATTAGCAATACATATTTTATAAAATAATTTCTTATTATCGTATCTCATTCGCAATTGTAAATATTGAAATGGCTAGTAAGATCACTTTGAATATTAACTCGCCTCGTGGCTTTATCGCAATGAGAATTAATGATATAGCTAATTCTCACAGTAACCATTACAAATAAACCACGAATACCGACAAGGTTGAAACGCATTGGCTGGCAGTAAGCGGCAATAGGCATTTCGCATTGACAAAACAATATACAATAAGGAAGGACCACACAAACCCACACTAAGTTTCGTACCCTTCTAATTTACAACATAGCATTGAATAAGTACTAATTCTATTTTAAAACGAAGCACTGCAATCAAACTCAAGTTTCTCGTAGCCCGATGAATATTTCGTGGTTTCGTTCTCCGAAATTTTTGTACCCAGTACGGGACATCGCCAAACACTTGTTCAGGAAACTGATAGTTCAAATTAAAGTTACAAAAGCATTCTCATAAAAATTGCTGTGCTTTGTTTAATCAAAATACCAATCGCCAACAACGTCTCAATGTGGCTTAACCTAAGTTTAACAAAATAAGTAAAACTGCACTTGACGGTGTTGTCAATTGTACACAAAAACCGAACTGATCAATGATTGGTTTGTGGAGCCCATAAATAACAATTTTATGATTGAAAATGTTTGGAGTTAGTTTAATAACAAATCTTTAATTATAATAAGTACGAAAGAACTTAGAAATTTGGTAATATAAGAAATATGTTCACTATTTCGTGTTATAATAATTACATTAAGACTTAATAAGTATTTTATGTATGTACATGTACAGTTATATATGTTTGTACAATGAATCAGAGTACTGATATGCTTTTCGTGATTACCTGAATGTGGCGAGACAATTATTTTAAGGTACTAAGAGCGCTTCGGTTTGATAACATTATTCGTTAAGTATACATCTTATTTATGTAGATTTAAAATGCGCTGTCTAGAAATGAGCAACTTGGTAAGAGAAAAATGAAGAAAATTTGTAAAATATACCCATTTTGGTATTGCGAAATTATCGAAGCTTCCTTGGCATCCACTCAAATTGCACTATTTCCGAACGGAATTCCTTAACCAACATGCATGAAATTTGAAACTAGCATAAAAATACAATTTTAAATTTAGCATTAAAAATCACAGGTCGTGACGAAGCCCAAATTTTGAATTTTGACATGTAACCTGACATAATTGAGTCCAAAGGTCACCGTGTTAAGTCTATGGGAAAGGAGGCAAATATTATGCAGATGCAGAACTGACTAGTAGTTTTAATGAGTTGAATGTATCAATGCGATCATTACGATTAGAGACATCGCGGAGTCAACATTTTGCATTTCACGTCGGTTGGTATTTATCTGCTTCAAGAGTACCTACACACAAAAAACAAACAAAATTTAAACATTCCAACAAACTGTTTTTGTTACTTATAGTAATTTAATTAAATCTATCACATTTTTTCACATAACTTTAATTTATTTAGTAGCATATGTACGTGAATTAAGTTACGACTAATTAGTACGAGTTGACGATAAAAGTCAAATGATATTGTTGAGTATTGCCGCTAGAGGCATGAGCCTTCATAAAACGCATGTTTAATGATTAACTAAAATTGACACGTTTCCTTAAAGATTCAAACTTATCACCTCACGTTTTGTACAATTTTAATGCTAATTTGGTTTCTAACAGCATACAAGAAGGCGAATAAATTACTAAGAAAAAAATTATTTATATACGGCAATACTGAGATTAGTGCCAGAGTGGGGAGAGGCAAGGCTTGATGGCCGCTGGAGCCCGTTGATTCGGCAGTTGGCAACCAGTTGTTGTCAAGAACGGACTGTTCTATAACATTTTGCATTGTATCTGTAAAAGGAGTGTACATTTAAGTTTAGCTTTATTATATTTTTAATCTGACTGATTTTATTTACTATTTACTTCATGACATTTAACTTTATTAATTCCTGTATTATATACATGAATTTTTGCTATTATTTATGAGTACTGTATTATTGCACGTACTTTATCTTTAATGTTTTTATATTTTTCGACTTCAGCAACTATTGTGTCTAGATATATATTCTGTTAGCAATATATTTGTGCAATAATGAAATAAATTAATTAAAATGACGGCTGATAGGGGAGAGTGGAAGACAAATACATGCGGTGCCGACCCCACCTATCGTGGGATAAGGACAGGAAGAAGAAGAATGAAATAAATTAATGATGAATTATTTTTTCAACAGATGATCACAGTTGCATCACGCGGAGGTTTCCTCACAAAACAATTTGATTAAAGACGTATTTGAATGGATGACGAATGGATGGTTAGTGATTCAAATGATAGTGTTCCCTCCCCGCATTTTCCAAATCATAGAAAGACCTAGCTTATGAATTTTTGTGATATTTGAATTAGTTTATTTCAATGAAATTTAAAACTTTTATAGTCATAAAGAGAAAGGGGAAAAGATGCAATCAAGATGTGAACTTTGAAGAAGTTGTAATCATTGTTTTAAGTACGTACCATACGTGGTGACATCTGGTGTGTAAAACTTCTGCTCGGCAGGTTGTAAAGGGACCACATACCCTATAAATTAAAGCGAACATTTAGGACTTTTCACTTAAAGCCAAGTTTAAGAACAATCATTTTGTACACGTCAGGCCGATTTCTGAGGACGATATAACTTTCAAAATCACATGCAGACATTTTAAAAATATCTTAGGTGTTCATTTCCTTAATAGACACCTTAGGTCGAGAAAGTTTCATATTCCATGAAATGGTTGCAAATATACGCATATCATGGAGATCATTACACAAAGGTGATAAGTATTCTAAAGTGCATAGCTAATGTAAAATCTTACGGTGTATTGACATGGTAACTATTTTTTTGTGCCGACAAAGCTGGGTTCTAAATAACAATGGCAAATACTGGGTTACAAATAAAATAAATGTGCAACCTAATTGTAAAACAGTTTCCTGTCTCATTACTAAAATTGCCATAATTTAGGTGAAAATTCTGAGCCATTAGGGAATTATTCCCAACATCACAGTATTATTGTTGTGGCTCGCTAATACTGAAATGAACATTATTACTTACTATTGCATTAGTCTTTGGGGTTTCCAATGTTATTATACTGGGCTTTATTTCAATTAGATTTCAGAACGACAATCAAAGTCCAGTAACGAAAAAGGTAGCTTTTGAAGAAGAAAGGCTCCTAAATTTTACTGATGACTTCAAACAGACAGACGCTCTTAAGTGATCGTAGCAAGCTCAGCTTCACGGCTAGGGGCTGAAGATTATGTCCAGAACTATAAAGCTAAGTGGAAAATAGATGGTGGGTGATCACAAACTTTGTTTTACGATACAGTATACTTACTAGGTGGTGGTGTATATTCGGTAGTAGTAGTCGGAGGTAGGGTGGTAGTTGTGGTGGTGGTTGTCGTAGTGGTCGTCGTCGTTGTTGTGGTTGTCGTTGTCGTTACTTTTATTTCTGTGGGTAATGAAAACTATTCTGTTAGTACAAACGTTTAGAAAACAACAGCAGATCAATAATAGCCGAGTTGGGCGAATGCTAACATTCTATTTCTTTCGAGAGTCTTTCAATCCGAACCCCGCGGCCTTGCATCTAAAGGTATTTTAGAATAATGACCAGTTTACAATTACAAACTTGATTCAATGATGAAGGAAAACATCGTAGTGAGTAAACCTGTATGGCAAGGAAGGTTCACAAAATTCGAAGGCACGTGAAAATGTCCTCACTCGCACTGAACAAGAGAGCTCATAGCCTGAACCCTCTTCTTGTAGCAGACCTGCGTTCAACAACATGACGTAAAAGTTTTAATTCCTACGAAAGCAAGTAGTAAAAAAGTTGCACACAAAAGAGGTCACGGGTATTTTGAGAGCTATTATAGGGTTATAAGAATAAGTGCAAGACACGATGTTCCTAAGAACAATGAATAAAAAAACGAAAATTATAATACGATAAAATCTCTTTGAAAGATGTTTTAATGGTTTCTCATTTTTAGAATGGGTATCCATGCTAATAATTCTGTGTCGAAATATCCTTGAATTACTGGACGTCACAGACAGAAACTTTATAGAGGAGGGAATTCAAATCATAATTTCCCTTCCAGTATAAATAATAGTATTTAAGCCCGGTTTGGATCGGGCATATTTATTTACGCGTTCAAATTGAACGGTTCACGCGTTGGTTTGACCGGGCTTATGCTCTGCCCTATGCCTACACAAGATTATTATTTATATCACTTCCTGAATTAAAAATGCTTAATTTCGAGAATGTTTTACTTCGCCAATCAGCACTGGGCCACCGTAGTCAACAGTGATTCACCACCCACTTAATTATGTACATAATAATATACTACCTCCTTGGCCGAACGGTTACCATGTTGGACCGCCACGCAGAAGTCCCGGGTTTCATTCCCGGGCCCGGTGAAACATCATCGGTATGGCCTACATTTATTTCTCTCATGAGTTTAAGTATCTGTGGTTGGGTGAATTTGTGGTTGTCTTTGTGTAGTTAGTAGTAGTAGAGCTCCTTGTGAAAGAGTGCGTCCAGCCACCTTACCTATTTCTGCCGCAAAATAGTAATGTCAGCATTATTGTGTTCCAATTTTGAAAGGTAAGGAAGGGTGCTGGTGAAATTACAGGCACATGTGACTTGTCGACTTATGTCTCACGGTGACGGGCGCAGTGGCGGTGCCCCTCAGATCTTTGCGATTTAAAGTTGTGAGTGGTACTGCAGCTGTTATGGACCAGCGCGTAGCTTACCACCGCCTGACACGACTTGTTCGTCCCGTTACTTGATATTGTAAAAAAATGTATGTGGCCATGATACAGCCATGTAACCCTGTAGGGCACCGCAATTTGCGTTTACGTAAACAGATTCGATATTACTATAGAAACTAATATTATTAATAATATTGACAATATTAATCTTGAAGTCATGTCTGTGATGAATGTTGTTCATTAGAAGTTAAAATATAAAAACTACCAGCAATTATTATTTATAAAACTGTGTCATCCCTAATGATTTTTTGCTTTGAAGAAGAGATTTCAAACGTTCAAGTTCGAGTAGTAATTCAAGTTCAGAATCATAAATGGATGTTGGATTGATATGTAGTGCCATCATCTTCATTTCAGCCGAATGACGTCCGCATCGCCGAAAATGGGGGAAACCCCCAAAGAACAAAAATAAATGATATGTAGTAAACCAATTTAAAATGAAATCTTGCAATTTTGTTACGTACCAGTAAATAACAGTTCCCGTATATTAATACTCATTGATAAATCATACGCAACAGTAGGTATTGTGCAAACTTTATTTTACGGCGGTGGGCCCTTTATGACAGCTACCGGACTCTAGTCATCTGAACACCTTCAAGTGTGTTCATTAATTTCTTATTGAATTTCAAAAAGCCCATTTTTAATATATTTCCTTGTACAAAATTACGAGTGGATTCAATTCAAATGATCCCCTAAACAGTATAGTAACCGAGAAGCGAGACTTCCCTATACAAGTAGTGGCAACCTTGCATGTAGTTTTGTTTATATTTGATACATAATATTTTTTTTATACTTCTACAGCACTGCAAAGTACAGTGAATGTCCAGTGTCAAATAAAACAAAGGTAAAAATTAACAATATTCCTACTTGATTTTAGCCTGCATGAACGTCATAATCCTATTTTTTTAGTAAATAACATGAACTATTGAATTGATATTGGGAATAGGATGTGACAAATATATTGCAGGCAAATGCTAAATGAGATTTCAGAATCTGAATTTCTGGAAACACACCAATTCATCCAACTTACCGTAAAGCCGTATCGTCCCTTCGGCCTTGCCCATCGTATTGGAAGACACGCAGGTGTAAGTGCCGGTGTCTTCTCCACTAAACAGCTTGACTGTCAGCACCGCTCTCACTTGATATGCTGATAAGCGCTCTTCTGATATCTCGTGTTTGTTACTGCAATCAAACAGCGGTTTATGGCATCATCTCTGATCAATGCCATACATTTTAGAATTGGTTTGAGCTCCAGTGAACAGATGACGCTCCCACGTGACAAAAATCAAATTTGTTCAATATGCGCTCTGATTTATGAATTTGAATTTCGTCAAATTACGAACATGTTTAAATTATAATTCTCACATTTGCATAAATATGAACCGCCGAATAGACCATTGCACTAGAGAATTTAATTGGATTCAAGCGGTAAGCATCGTATATCCATGTGCAACTGTACATTTACGGTAGGTAAAAATTAAAACGCAAAAGTCGCTTTGCCCTGTACCGAAAATCAAGACTTTTAAAAAGGCGTTAACATACTCAGCAAGTATCATGGCCTCCTCGCTCTTGAGCCAGTAGTTGATCGCCTTAGGGTACGCCTCAACGGCGCACTCGAGGCGCACCTGGGCCCCGGTGGGGACTCCTATCACCTTCCTCGCCACCATCATTGTCGGCGGAACTGCAAACAGGAGCATCAGTGATACACCTGACGCGCTTGTCTATTATGTAGTTGATACCCTTACACCAACAGCTTTGATCAATTAAGAAAGGTTCACAAAACTCTTCGAAGACATGTCAAGAGCCCTGAACGATGACGTTGGAATTATAAGGTGAACTTATAACAAACGAACTACTCTCCCAATACAAACTCGTGACTTGCAGTGAGACATGCTCTGAGTACAATAGATATCAAACTTTTTGAACGAAAAGTCACGCTATTGGGCATTAGTATGTCTTCTCCTTAATCTTATGAACTTTGTGGTATAAGCTATTCCGTTATCGTCAACTTTCTCCTTGCCATGCCTGGAACAAAGTTAGCGACATTTCATACATACAGTTGACACTGAGCATGATGCGCTTGCTGACGGACGGAGGCACATCGTTAGAGGCGATGCACAGGTAAGCCCCCATCTGCCTTCGCTCCACCCGCGTCAGGTTAAGATTTGGGCCCATGTACATATCCACTGAAACAAAGTTCGCTGCTCAGAGAGGTATTATGTACATAACAAATGTGCTAAGTCAACTACACCAATCCGTCGGTTGAAACTCCCTAAAGGTCCTACTTAAAGGAAGCTTCTCTACCTTAAATAGGCGAAATTAGAAAAGTTTGTATAATGTTCCCGAAGTTAACCCCAGGACATTTAATTGTGTAATGCTTAGTGTGCTTGCTTTACCACTAAAGTAACCGAAGTAATCACAAGAAAAACACTTTAAATTCTCGGAGAAAGCGCAGCGGGGAATTCAAGACCCCCATGCTTCAGCGACCTAGTATCGACTACTTCAGTTCTTTCCTACATTTGCTGTATAAGAGTATAAATAAAATAGTGATATAAGAGACGACCGTATTATATAACGTTAAGGCAAAGAATTTTTTTTTTTAAGTTTTAATACTATTTACACAAAGCCAGAGTGACCGTTGACTTAAAAAGTTCTTTGCTGGACAATGACCGTTTTTGCAGAGTTCGTTAATTGAATGACAGCTTTCTAACTTAAGAAGCTTAAGGACGAGCCGAGGAGATGAGTATGTTCTAGAGTATATTTAACCTAAAGTTTACAATTGTGTTACTTAAAACCTTAAAGTTTATGATTCATCAAAAACTTAAACTTTGACCAAATTGCATGGAAGCTTTCATTTATATCACAAAATGTACGTCACAAAGTCTCGCTTCAATTTGTAAAAAACATAAATGTAGCAGTGACAACTAAATAAGTGTTTCCATTATTTATCACTTGACTTGTCTCCGCAGAAAGACTTTGCCAAGTTTAATTCGAGTCGTGTATTTGAAAACCAAACAACGTTTTTACAAAGGAGAGACTGAATATCAAGCACAATAAATAACCGAGTGTAATAACAGCAGAAATGGCAACTCGGCAGAAATACAAAAAATGTCGCAGATAGACGCGAACAATTTCGACTTTAACTGAAATACACGGAAAAAGTCGACTGCGGGCTGACAAAGAGAAATTAAAGTGTAACGTCGAAGGTGGAAACGCCTGCGGGTGACTTGATACCTTAAATCGAAACTGTCAAGGTCATTCATAGTAACTTCTTCTCTCCTAATTTCGGAGTAGCGCCGGCAAACAATTATTTTATAAATATTCATTCAGTGGCCCTAAATTCTGTTAGTGAAGGCAAGCGTAGGTAATCGGTTAACATTTCTCTTTCCAACAAAATTGGAAGTGGGTGTTTGCTGTTTCCAAGTTCACGTCATATATTTTAATAAATGGAAGTCTACGTATATAAAAAGGAAAAATCTGAAATAAAAATTTGACAACTGCTCCCCACTCAATACCGAAATTCAAATTGAAATATTAATTTTCCGTACGCCATAAATTGTCGCAAATGAAAGTCTTTCTGTAATTGCGCTATTTTGGGAGTTAATCAAATTCGAAGGTTTCTTTTCTAGAAGGATTCTATCCAATATTTAAGGAGTCGGTTGGCGTGACAAGGTAACGTTATTTTTTATCTTAATTTATATCATTTAAATTGGCATAAATATTCACTTTGTCAGTAGAAGAAATTAAATCTTTAATATTTTGCAATACGTCGCGGTCCCGGATCTGAGTCAGAATATTTGTAAATGTGTTTCTTTTACCTTTGTGGAGTTCTCCAGCCTCATTCCTCAGCTGGATGTTAGTCCCGTCCTCTCTCCGCCACAGGATGCGGGGCAACGGTCTTCCGTCAGCTTTGCAAGAGAGGCTCACGTTCTCTCCTTCTGTTGCCACGATGTCGCCACTCGTGCCCTCGTCTATTATATTCGGTGGCACTGTGCGTAGAAAAATGTTAACTTTGTTAACATTAGCCAAACTGAGACGGCAATAAATAATAAAAAGCATTTATTTAGGACCTGAATCCATATATAATTAGTAACAGACTTATAAACTATGTTAGTAAGTACATTTGACGTTTTGTTGAAAAAATTTGCCAGCATCTAAATCTGTTGAAAGTAACTAAAATGAATGAAGTTGGGTGCATCGTTGCAAACGTTAATTTTCACTATATCAAATTATTTAACAAATTAGAATCCGCTTGATTTTGCGCCACTTTCCATTACTGCAAATGTTTTTATTATAAAATATTCATAGCACGTTGAAAAAATAGATTTTTTTATTCACTTGATTATCCAAGCTGACTGACTGGAAAAAGTCAGTTCTATATCACAGTACTTATGTGGTCTGTGTATATCACATGCTCATAACAAATGCAAACAGCATCTCGTGACATTTTGATTGCTACTTTGAATAACGTGATTGTAAAGGAACACACTTTTGCCCCAATGCAAAAAGCGGAGAATTATAAGTTTGAAGCCTTGGTCTGTGTATCTATTTACGTCTTTATGTTAGGGGTGTCGTAGGTCCCAAACCAATGGACCGTTCTGAAAGCGGATTTTTTTAATTTAAAATCTAATTTAATCCGAATGGCATTATTTATAAAGCAGTGTTTGAGTTATATAGCAGTATTTGATGAATATCTGCTCAGCTGTTTAAAAATGTATCAGCTCTTTTCTATTTTGTCAGTGCAGGCATCTCAGTCAAAATTTTATTTTACTACCATTTATCCGATCGACTTGAAATTTAGTATAAATAATATGGTAACCTAGATCTGATGCTGCAACCAGGACAGTCTGCAGACTACCTAACTTCTCAACTACTACATTAGTACGTTGTTGACTACGTCGAGTTGTTGGCTTACGGAAGGTGACTTTATTGATCATTTTAAAGTAGTTTTATATATAAATTAACAATTAAATGAAAAACCTGTGTATGCGACAAAATAAATGAGTAAGAACCGAGTTTATACAAAAGCCACAAATCCAACTTTCATTACAATGTTCCAGCTCAGACAGCGGTTTTGTTCACGCTGATGGTGACAGAGAGGTATTTTTAACCCTCAAATGAAGCTCGATAGACTAAAACAGAACCAAGAAATGCACAAATATTTGCAATTTTAATAATTGCACCATCTCTGTGACGGTGTTGAAACTAGGCTACAATAATGCTAGAGCACTAGTATCACTGCGCACTGGACTTGTAATGATTTTTTATAGTATTTCTGTTCGAGCAACGTGAAATCGTATATAAGATCACTGCCTGAAATCCATATTTGCATTCAATTCGTGACATAATAATAAAATTACATTAATTTGACTTTTGACGATTTATTGACATCATTTGGACACTAATTTGACAAAATGTGTTTGGACATGTTCCGTAATTCATTAATTGATGATTGATTCTGATGATCTTGCTTTCTGTATAAAATATATTTTTTATCGATTATGTTTTGAGTGCAGTCGATTACAGGTGATATAGAAAACATTCGGCTTGGGTGGTATCGATATTGGGAACAACATTTTGTAGTACAATAAAAGTTTTTAGATACATTTTCTGCGGCCACTGAGGCAGCGACGACTCTTTCGCCGCTCAGTAAAATTATATGTTATTTAATGATACCGTCAGACTTAGTGCTCGCGCTCGAGGTTTCCTTTTGCATAAAAGATGCCTAATTCTAAAAAAAAATAATGACAAGCGACCATAAACGGAGATAATTTATGCGCGGAGGGATCGTAACTCAAAGCCAAAGGAATACATTTTCATAGAAAAATATACTCTTATTCGCGTTTTTCCTGTTAAAATTTTACGTAAATCTCGCGATACGAATGTTTTAATAAATATTTATGCAAAGATATAAATTAATTAACGTGCTGTAGAGTTGAAAAACGCTTTTTGTATTTTTACTTCATTTACTTTTATAAAAGACTGGTTTGATCCCCTGCCGTGTTGTAAAATTACGAGTACAGCTAAAAAGCGCTTTAAAAATGGGTCTAGAAGTTATTGAGAAAATCGTGAAAGTAATAAATATGTAGGTATACACGAAAGAAACATAATCGGCCCTTCATGTTGAAGTTGGCTAACGACAACAGTACGATTGAAATGTCGAAGGTGCCATTTCAAAATTATAATTTAATTTGTCTCAAAATTGGACTCAATTTAAAAGATGTTTCAAATGCTTAAAGGGTTAAGGTAGACAGATACCTTGCAGGTGCCGATACCGATATAATTAAATGTTTTGCAATGATACCAATTACTTGGAGTAAAAAGTCAGGAAATAACTGCAAAGCTGTTTCCCAGAGAAGACCCAAAACGCGAAGTAATTTAGAAAAGATTTTTGTCTAAATTTGTTAAAGGCCACTTTTTATAAAGGTTGTGCTCTCGCCGCGAGCGAAGTCACATTTTCTATCATCTAATCATCTTTCTGTAAATATTTTGTGATATTTTATTGTATCATGAAATTAAGTATTATGTAAAGTAAGATAGGTAATCTATAAAAAGCTAAAGCTTTGCAAAAACTAATTGTTTAATTTAAAATATAATTGAAATCTGAGTTTACATTTAATTTTATTCCCACCTCTAGCTGATTGGTTAATTTATAACCTCCGCGCGTGCAACTCGATACAATCGCATAATTAAACTGATTACGTTTGCAATTTCGATAATTGCAATGCATTGGCGACACAAACAACGGTCCTTTTTATCTCTTTATTTATATTTGCACCAGGCCTAAAACGCCTCGCGCACTGGCCAACCGCGACCGAGGCCGCATAGCTAAAATCTATGTACGTCCAATCGCATGCCCAGTCGTGGTGGTCCACCTTTCTGTAATTGTTTACGAGAGGCCGTTTACTGGTGGTGGCTCGAATAGACCATGATAACACACGACCAAGTTTAGCCAGGTAAATGCAATACTTGGTGGACCGCAACTTCTTCCGTAGAGGTAACGATCAGTGGCCTGTTGTATTCGTGACCACCTAGTGCGCAGGCGCCTGAATTCGCACAGAACCTTTATTTGTTTATCCAATATTGTTGCGTGGGTTTCTGTCATCTCTGATTGTTGTGTACGCAACGAAGATACAAAGTAAAAAAAAATATCGAGCTAATGAAAATACGTGTTGATTTTCTATTCAAAGGTCAATTATCTTAGAGCTGGTACATATTTTTCTAATACCGCTTTGAAATTGAATATTTTAATAACAGACAACGTTACAATTTTTCGTTAAGAAAAATTTTTCTGGGTACATATACATGTATACGTCACGTCTTCTTCGTATCGGGGTATCGATGAAAAATTAATTTGCTAAACGCCAATGGTCAAAAGGTCATTACAATTATTATCATTATTAATACAAAGATCGAACACATAGAGAAATTTCTCCGACCCGATAGGACTTGAACCCACGATCACGCTATAGGTATCGTAGCGTTGTTCTGTCTATACTCGTGATCTATACCAACTGAGCTACAGATCAAGTTATCGAGTATCATAGAAGAATTTCGACAATGTGTCTTTGCACTGGTTTATTGGAGTTTTGCGCCGCTAGTGACATCTAGTGAAAGACTTTAGAACCTTCATGCAAAACTTGGGGTTATTTCACTAAACAAATATCAATAATACATCTATTACAGATACTAAGCGTTTTGAGCAGTATTTAATTTTGTTAGTCATACGAATATTTTTTTGGTTTAATCTAATATCTTCTTCGATAATAATAACATCTTCTTGGCAGTGTGGTGGTGGTCGTCACCAGAACACACGGCCACTCTCAATCACTTCCATTCATCTCAGCAGAGATCCCCTTCGTGCTTGTTATCTAATATACTTGCAGTTGAACTAATAGATCCGCGACATGAACTTATCAACCACCTCCGAAATGATAGGAATGGTTCGGGAACACAAGTCATCTTTGAAAACGTACTTCAGGAGCAACTATAAAATTGCTTTATAGTTCAATCTGAATCCGATTTAACGACACAAATTGAACTCAAAACACGCACGTGCTCAAGACGGAGTCCTTCCGCCTTCCACAAAATACTTCTTCTATGAGATTGTTTTATTTCCAAGTAGTTCCGCAGCAACACAATTGATTTTTTTCAGTGCATCTAGAAAGCGGCGCTCACGGCAAAAATGTGCCAACGGTAAATCACTACGGTAAAGCAAGTCGTGGAAATAGTACGTCGCTACGTGATAGCACGCTATTCAGCTACGTGGCCAAACAAGCACTTTACCGACCTACAGGGAATTGGAGAAGTCGGACCTATTATATCCCTTTTATAGAGTTACCCCAGCGTTTATAAAACCATGTGAAGACCCAAATTGGTGTTGGGCGGGCCTGCTCTAGTGCTTTCTCTTATAAAATGAGATCTATATATTTGTACGAGCATTTATTTTATCAGCGTCTGTCTCTCTGCAGAAATAAGGATCAATATATAATATAATAGCCATTAGTAGTAGTCTAGTAGTATGACCAACCGTCACTCAAGTAGAGACCGTCGACTCCGGGCTCGAAGCCTATATTTATTGAAATACGATATATTTATTGAATACTGACTTTTCGTTTTTCGGACTTTATGTGCAAAATTTAATTTGAAATTTACCATGAGCTTTCGGTGAAGCTGCACGATGTCTTCGAAGAAGGTTCTCAACCCTTGGATAACGTGTGAAGTCCCCAACCCGTATTGGGCCAGCATGGCTGAATATGGCGTATCCCTCGCCTGAGAGAAGGTCCGTGCCCAGCGGAAGGACTCATAAATGGGTTGATGACGAAGAGGATAAAGTTAAAAAACCGCAACGACAATTGAAACAGCGGAAGTCTCGTCAAAACCATATCAGCCCAAGCAACGAGTCATGACCGCCGACTTATCGTAAGCGATATTTTTACCTAAACAGCGTTTTTTATCGCAAATGATATTTTAAACTATACCGGACAAGGACGCGTCGACAATTCCCGCCAAAATCACATCAAATAGAAATTATAGCAAAAGGTAAGTTTATCGTTAGCCAGATAGTTAGTTATATTATAATGTAATTGATCAATATTAAAAAATCATAACGTAAGCGACCCCACTTACCGCAACCGACATAGTACATAACTTTTTCGTCGTTTACTATAAACAGTGGCAAAAAACGTGTTGCATCGTGTTACATATTTTTAATCGCAAGTGTTACCTTAAACGTTACCTTAGATGCCTCCGTGGCCGAACGGTTACCATGCCGGACTGCCACGCAGAGGTCCCAGGATTCCCGGGCCGGGAAAAATATTTATATGGCCCACATTTGTTTCTCTCGTGTGTTTGGGTGTAATTTGTGGTTATCTATATATGTGTCCATGACACCCGCGACACAGGGTTTCCCCTAGTGCGGGGCTATGTTGAGTGAGTGTGTGCGCTAAGCGCTTGAAAGCCCCAAAAATATTTGCTCTATCTCAAAGATAGAGATAGAAAAAAAATATTATAAGCCCCAAAACCGGCTTAACATCCATTGTTTTAAAAAATATTTCAGCTATTAAACAATTGGTTACGAAATTCATTAATATATATATTAAAATTCAATTTAGTATCACATTTTTGTGTAGAAATATTTTTAAAAAACCCTCTCCTGTAAAATTCGTAATTTTTTCTCGCTTACATTAAATCGGCAACAATGACTCGATAAGACCGCTGCTGTCTACCATTTACATCATTATGTCAGTTCTAGGTCACTATAACATTTTAGTTTAATTGGAATTACAACTATTTACCAAGTTATATTAAAATCGGTTTACAGAAAAAGTGAGTGAAATTCCATCAACCGGCTTCATCCCCTAATTTGCTATCCTTTTTTTATGCATAATATTAGGTGATGGGACGAACAAGTCGTACGCCTGGTGGTAAGCTACACGCATGTCCATAACAGTTGCAGTGCCACTTAGAATTTTAACTGTACCCGTCACCCTGAGACATGAGTTGACAAGACCCATGTACCTGGAATTTCATCAGCACCCTTACCCTTCAAAACCGGAACGCAGTAATGCTCACGTTACTGGTTGGCGGCAGAAATAGGTAAGGTGGCAATACGTCTCCGGACGAACTCTTTGACGGGGAGCTCTACTGCTACTAAATTTCCTTTTCAATAAAAAAGACTAATTGAAATCGGTTCGCAAGTGTCGGAGTAATCGCGTAACACATACAGAAAAAAATACAGTCGAATTGAGAACCTTTTCCTTATTTAAGTCGGTTAAAAAAGAGCGTTATAACGTGAAAGAGGGTATACTAAATAATGATAGAAGAGGAAAAGTCTCATCCGATTGAAATGAAGTACATTAGTAGAACTTCGACCATTAATTTAAACACTTCAAAGCACTTCGCTCGGCGCATATATTTTAACAAGGATGAAGATCCTACAAAGGTTAGGTCAAAAGCAACGAGAATAAAAATACGTATATGAAAAGACTGATACCTGCATGTTCATGTATACATTTATTGAATGTTTTACGTGTACTTATGTAAAGTATACAATACTGTTTTTTACTTAATGCAAAAGAGCAAATATTGATTTGCCTCCTTACTAGGACACGTGTAAACATTTCCTGTGTACCGTTTCCTCAAACATAGCAAAGTAATAAGTCCTGACGCAAAACAAGTAAACGGCGTTTTTTAAAAATAAGATTCTTCCACAACTCGGCTGCGCGGCAATTCTCCAAAAGTTAGATTTCTATAAACAATTAGAGAATGCGCAAGAAACAGACGCGAGATGCCTCAAAGGACCTCAAAAGGCCGTCTGTGTAAATGGTATTGTAACTGGCTCGTTAGAGCTTAAAACTTTTTTAATCGCTCGCAAAAGAAAAAACCATCTTGTTCTTCATTCCCGCTTCACCGCATTTAAAAATGTTTTTGGTTACACTGGCCAGATGTTCACCGCTGTGAACGTCACAGCACGGTTGAATTTTTAATGAAATTTATCATTTTTCATTTGGATAAGTGAAAAATGTTTCTTTCGAATACAAACATTTTTGTTGCGAAACTGATATTAATTGCTATTGTCCTGTCAGCGGTATCTCACCACTCCGTGCATAATAGATATTGCTAAGTTAGTTGCTAATTAAATATTATTAATAGCACCTTCGTCAATACCGCGAGTCACGCAGGTGTAAGAATTCAGATATTATGAGATCGAAGAATAGCGTAACAAGATTTGGCCGCCGTAAACAAAAGATAGGAAGAGCAAATAAGCCCATATTTATTGAAATACGTTACACACAGCTCGCGGAATATGTGACATTTGCCGATAACGACTACTTCTTCGAGAAAACTCCTTACATTTGTTCACTGTCGCAAGTGCTAACATGTTATTGTTAGAGATCGTACGTTTCCACTTTTTACGATACACGCGTTTCTCCGTTCGAGGAACATTTGCGATATAATTGTAGACATGCGAATAGAATACACTTTTTATGAATTCTAGAACGTATTATTTTCTACGTGCTGTGCGTAACATTTTCAGTTGGCCGAACACATATATATTAGGGTTTCCTTCTCTATTTGTACATATCATATAATTTTTTTTATATTCTAATGTAATAGTGCATTTGACCTCCATCTCATCTCATCTCATCCATATTTTACAGTTGTTTAGTTTACCACTGACAAAGAACCACGTTTCCAACTCCAACCACAATTTTTTTTTGTACATTGCCATTCTAAAAAACACTGTATTGTAATTAAACAAAAAAAATGACAGTAATGTTATCTTTAATTATATATAATATTAATGTTGTGTACAAGTATAATTCGAGGCCAGATTTATAATGTTACATAATTATGTAATAATTCTAAGTACCGTTTGTTATCGTACTTAAATAATAAGAATGTAAAAAAGAAATTGAATATTATGCATTTTAAAGCGAATGAATATAATCATTCCTCGCGAGAAGGTCAGAAAATTTTGATTTCATCTTCGTACGCTTCGTTTACAATTAATAAGTGCACTGGAAAATTATTGGAAATAGATGAATATAATTGTGTAACGCATTGAACGTCATTTTAACGTCATTTTATTACATGTATAGAGGTATATTAATGTGGGTAACGGAAGTAATTCTATAATAAGAAATATAGTTCTATAAATAATTTATGCTTTTACATGAGTTGTAATAATTTTAAACCTCAAACAATAAATGGGTCTATTTTCGCGCGAGATTATCTAATCACATACTGTTCACTGTACTTTCATTGTGCACAGGCTTATTTGACATTGAAATGAAAGGATATATTGTTCGTTGCATTTCTGTGGCAAAGAGGTTCCTTTGGCGTGCTTGTCAATACATTACACGCGAATAAAAGGGCCGACGGGAGGGGTCAGCTGCGTAAGATCGTTTTGTAATTTAAATTACTGATATCATTTCAACTGCCTGCAGTTATTAATTACCCGAACTGTAGGCACGAGGGCCTAATTTAAAGTCAGTAACTTTTTGTCCCGAGACAAAGAGGCTCAGGAACGTAGAAACGCGTGAGCAAATTTGTAATTAGAGAGACGACCTCACTTATTTCACTTTGCATCTCGTAATTACCGGACAATCTCCCTAATTCGCTTTCAAAACTTTGCTGTAGCACACCTGCGGATGTGTTACGACTTAAATTTGCTTGTTTCTAAACCTATACGACGTACAGGGTCGAAAGCACGTCGCTTTGCACAGCTTTGCACTTAAGATTTAAATTAAACTCTCTGCCGCTTACGATAAGGACGATGTAAAGTCCAAAGTATCAAGCTCGATGCGAGAGCGCAGCATAATGTGTATGTACTATAAGAATAAAGCTCACCTAAAACATCAACACAACCAATCTGTTTCTTCATAGTGCTGGTATTGATCTGGCACATGTAGCACCCTCGATCCTCAACTTTCAGAGGCCTGATGTGGAGTTGCCACAAGCGCGGCGAGTCGTTGGTAACCGCGTAGCGTGAGCTGTGTGTTACCAGACGCGTGTGAAGAGTGAGGATCGTCTGGTCGTCTGCTTTGATCCAAGCAACCTGAGGACAATATCATTTCATTTACAATGTAGAGGCACGGGAGTTGTTACTATATTTAGGTAGTTAGATAAGATAGGAGTGAACTATAATTCATTACGAGTCGAAGTGGTCCATAAAATGTGACAAAACGTGAGCTAGCAGTCACGTGCCGGAATAAGAGAATATTATATTCAATAAGGCAAGATTTTGGAGACCTTTTTGCACCAAAATTATTAAAGTTTAATTTGGAAAGCAATAATAGATTTCTAAAAGTATTAAAATAAATTACGTAGCGGCTTTTAGGATTCAGCTAAAACTTGAGCGGGAACAAATGGAGAGCGACCTACTTTTAAATTCAACAAATATTTTCTTACTGAAAACTTTTAAAAAGGCTTTAGCACCAGTCTTATTGCGCGCGGAACATGTTTAAGTAGGGTTAAAACTATTAAAAATGTTCATAAAAACGAATAGCTTTTATATGAATAAAAACAAGTCATTCATCTTTTATGAAATCCAAAGCAGACAAATAAAAACGTTACTCAAACTCCTTCCCTCTTACTGAGTGAGGTAACCCATAAGGTGACGACACGTTAGAACTTTTTGCAGGACTTTTCTAATTTCAGATCGAAAACATGCGACTGTAAATGGCCATCTTACGATAAAAAAACCACAATGTTATCACTACTTATAAGAAAGCTCTAGAGTAATTTACCAATGACATACCTACCTGTTACACGCTCGATTTACATATCATATAAAATAAAATTAATCATACCTTTGATTTGTATTATAAGCCGATTCACAAATAGCAACGCCTGTAACGATTACCCACGACTACGTTGTAATCGTCTCCATACAAACCAAAGATATACTAAATCCAGTCGAAGAAATAAGATATGGCAGATAAAGTGGCAACCGAATGATGACAAAAAAAGTGGCAACAGAAATATGGAACGTCCGGCAAAAGAGATGGGTCGACGAATGAAACGCGCATAAATGACACAAAGTACGTGAGGCCTGTGCTCAGCATTGGGCGAAGTCGGGCCGTGGACGAGACGAGTGCTAAATACTAAGCCAATGTTAAATCAGCCAGTAAGCCGAGTGTCCCGCATTGTGCTAGAGAAGTCTGGTCACGTTAGGTATCCGTCATCGGATAACGAGTAGGAAATCTCGAAATGTTACGTCTCCCTCCGTTCTTTCACTCGTACAACGAAGGAAAGCGAAATACTAAGCGAATTCTTTTATTAGCTGACTCGCGAATCAAGCGAAATCACATTACTTTGATTTCGAGATCTGAAGGAAACGGGTAATCTTATTAAAGCCGTACCTGAACCTTGTACCTGTGTTTAGAAATAAAATTTTATCGCTAATTTTATGATTTTACTCCGTTTATGAACTGCTTTATGTATTATTTTATTAAGAGTTTTTTTTTAATAATTTAAAACTTTTAGAATTTGAATTTGAGATAGAGATCGCTCTTGCGAATGAGGATAAGCACGCCGTTGTAGTAAAGACAGACATCAAGAATGCGTTTAATAGCATCGAGAGGGACACTATTTTCGGGGATGTCCTAGAGCAAGTGGCATCACTCTATCTGTTCTTCATCAGTGTTACTCCACAGCTAGCAATTTATTCTTTGGTATAACGTTTAGGCAAATTATCAGCACACGTCTCGCTTGTCTTGTTGCGGAACTGTTTTACGATGCCACGCCTGATGTATATTTTGAGAACATCTTCCAGTTGGTTGTGCGAGGACGATGGGCAAGACTAGACGACACACTGAAGTCATCACTAGAGTCCATATTAAATGTACACCAAAAGGAATCGCAGTGGTGTCAGGCTGTTCTTCCAATTCGTCACGACGGACTAGGAGTACATCGGTGACAAGAGATCGGTGTGGTAGCGTTCTTGGCCTCGGCTCATGGATCTTTGGGAGTCACTCGTGTCTTATCCGCTAATGGTGACGATACCCAGATACCTTTTATTGCTTAGGCCCGTACCAGGTGCGCCATTATTTGTCCGGGTGATGAGCGGCTGGATAATGTAGTCGTCCAGAGGGGATGGGACGACATTTTATGTGGAACGATGAGTTCATTATTATTGAGCGAGGTGTTGGATGTAAAAACCTGAATCTGGAGCGTGGTTGCAGGCATTGCCTTCTCCCCATTTAGGCACTCTGCTAATGATTACATTTGAACTGATAAACTCTGATAATGATTCGTTAAGAATTGACGTTGCTTTAGTTGTCAGAGGTGCGCGGCGCGTTTTTCAAGACATCATGCAATACCTAAATGATTTAGTTCGCCGGACTTTGGTATTGGCAAACGTGTCTTGCGTCTTGGTTCCACGGTAGAAGGGCCCGTGTCTTTTGTGGGACGCTACGTGTGCACGGTCCCACCTGAGTCACACCACCAGATCTGCCGGGTCAGATGCAGAGTATACGGCAAAATTGAAACATGCCAAGTATAGTACCTTGGAACCGTGCACGATTTTGTGCCAATTGCAGTGGAGATTGCGGGGAGTTGGGGTTCGAAGGCCAAAAATTCATCAGGGAGTTGGGTCGTCGGCTCAGGGATAGACGTTGTGATTCACGCTCTGGATCTTACTTGGTGCAGCAAATATCCTTGGCTATTCAGCATGGTAATGCTGGCAGTGTTATGGGGCGTTTGAACAAGCTAAGATTCAGAGCGGTCCTTATTCATTGTACTAGTTGGATAAAAATGGCCAAGTCTGGCGAATTGCATTGTTAAGTTTTATGTGACGAAATCTGTTGCTGATTCATATTTGTCTTTCTGACGAAGCCTACGTTGCGTATTCACGTAATTATGTAACTAATTTAGTTTTTAAATGAAGTGAATTGTATTCAAGCAATAAATGTATAGCGCGTAAAAAAATTAATTATATTTTTTTTTATTAAATGCTTGAAATAAGAACTTTCCATTCTTTTACGGGATTCCATCACTACGTAGTACTTTACTTATTTTCTTTGTCACGCATTAATAAATTTAAATGAATTACAAAGTTTATAATTATTTTTACGCACAATCCGTATCCTATTCGGTTCGGGCTTTCACAGGCGCCGAATATTTATTTGTAAGTTTGTTTTACGTTATTAATTAATTTTACTATGGGTTATGCGTATTAGTATTATAATGCCATAATTTTTAGGTTATATATGTATTGACATGTACACAAGCCAGCACATCAAGCTACACATTGACGTATCCTGTTCCGTTGCACTGGAGGCGATTTTTGAACAAAAATGTGTAGTCTGATGTGCCGTTGTCCGTACATCTAAAATAAACAGTTTATTTATACATTATTTTTATACGTTTTCGATCCAGAAACCACTTATTTAATTCAGTAGTTTAAATGTTGGTTGGAAAAAAAATCCTTTATAGAACAAACTTGCTATAATTTCTTATGTACATTGAAGTGGCTACCAATGCGTGTTATTTGAACGTATGTCGTGTGCTCTTGTATGGTGTCATTATTTGGAGAAACTTTGACGTTCACTATACAAAAACGTTGGTAAGGAAATCTTTAATAAAACCTAATGGCTATTCTCTTAGATTGCCGCTAGATAAGGGCTTCCTGACGTGACGGAAATATGTCCTCACTTCATACTTAATCACAGTAATTGCGTTACTGAAATATCCAACGTAACATTCAGTTAACGTTAGGAATAAGGTCCATCTTGTCCTCTCTATAATAAAAAGCAAAATCATTGAAATGTTGACTAATTCGAGGCTCATTTAAGGAAGTTGTGAATAACATAATGATTTTTTTTTATTTCTCCATTTAAAATATTTAAAATATTGTTTGAAATAATAACGAAAACGAAATTAGTAATAATAGGAATGTATAAAACAAAAAAAAAGTGATAAAAAAACTGGGTAAAAATTGTGAATAAAATTGCATGTACCTCTTACATTTTGTCACTTCACAGATACAATAAAAATCGTGTTCTTAGGCTTTTGCAATTGATACATATTTTTTTTAAACAATACAATATTCGGGTCCCGTGTTCACGGCTGATTGTCATTATCATGGTCATAAGACCCGAAAATATTTCATTTTCATGCAATAATTGTTTCAGGTTAAAATTTATTAAAATTATTGCCGGGAATTCTATATTTATAACAATATTTATATTAGCTAAATTGTTTACTTACGCACAAGACAATTTATACATATACTTAAATAAACGAATCCGCTACTCAACTACCCGCATTTTTAAATTAGCAAGACCCGACTAGAATCAACCGGCAATAAATCGAATCTATGTGTGACACAAACGTGAAGCAGACACGAGCCATTTCTTTTTCCCTCGCTGTGTTTGTCTCGGGGATAGGGTCCTTTGAACTGAGACGGAAATTTGCTGCTTACCCAGTACTACTTACTCTTAGAATAGATAACCCTGTTATTTTAGAAGCACTGGGCCTATTCGTGCCTAATCGTCATACAAAATCCATCGACCGTCAGGACCATTACTTCGCTGACCGTATTCCATACACTAATGTTGGTCGCAATTCGTAGGTGCTACATTTTGTATGCACAATTCCTGTGTCATTATATTTTTTTTATATTTAAGACATAAACATTTATACACATTTCCTGTCATTTCGCAGGCCATTTTGATTGATTTTAAGCCCAAAAGAGTTATTATAAGTAAGTAAATAAACAATAAGCACAAATCCGGAAAATATATATTATTATCCACGCTCATGGTGTTATAATTCTGTTACAACACCTTCGTGTCTACCAAATACCTACTAACAATATTACAATCCGTGTAAGTAATAATTCTAGACGAGGTTTCTCCTTTTATTACTGATTATTATGTCTTACTGCTTTATCTTATGTACTGGAATACCAATATATAAATATGCCAGACAATAACACTTACTACCTGGAGCCGAAACTAGTTTCGTCGATATTCTAGGCCCTCTGTTCAAAACTCAGACCCCAACATATAATGGTTTGACCGGGAATGAAACTCGCAGGCTGGTGGTGTGCTA